AAGCCCTTCTCTTTTACCCTCAGACAAACCATTCTACGTGGTGCAAGTTGACTTTGTCCAAATCAATACAACTGCCATACTCCCCCGAAATGGCTCCAGGTATTGATTGTTTCGATGGAATCAGAGGCTGGATGGCGCAATGCAGCAGTCCGCTGCAGAGGTGCACGTTCAGCAAAACCCCATAAATCGATACGAGTGGGCCATTTTTATCACCAGAGGCATCAACCAAAGCTTCACCCCAAGCTGATATCATCAGATCGAATTTGAATTGCTAACACAAAGTGTGCCCAACAGCCAATGCCCACTTGGATCGTTTTTTCCTGAAACTATTTTCACTTCCGGAGACTTCAACTAATGATAGTCAGCTGGCAAAAAAAAAACAAATTTGCCAAGTAAAGAGAACCAACGAACTGAATTTTCAACAGCACACGATAAACGTCCAGATCCTTCCACTGAGCATTATCCTAATCTGTTGTGAGCTGTCGAGATGTCAGCAGGCAGGTAGTGTTGAGCCACAAAACCCAACGCAGTACGATCTCTTTGATCCCCTCTATAAGATATGGAATGAACCATATGAAAAGCGTCAGTGAGAGCCAGAGGAAAATTCACGAGAGAGTTAAAAGGGTTTGAGGAAGTTTCGGAAACTGAAGAAACATGTCCAAATACCAGCAAGCTCATAGATGTGGGGTCCCCTGCAACTCAATTTACCGGTTTTGATTCTGTAACTTCTAAACTATTTTTAAACTTTTCGTTGCCCCATTGGCTCAAAGCCCGTGCACCTGCGTGTGTGCGACGGCCGACTCACGTATCAATAACATTAAAATCTGAAACTCACAAATGTCACCGCCCCCTGTCCAAACCTACCTACCTAATCAAACGCTATCAAGACAGATAAATCAAATTAAGTGCATTCGCCGTGACTGACTGAACAATGCACCAGAACCTAGGAGGAGGCCGATTAATGACTGTTTGTTGCTAGACTGGTCTATTGGACAAGCGCGAGATATGAGAAAGCTACCATAGGGTGGGTGTCATTCGGACGGTGATTTTGCCAGTTTGGTGCATACAAACGTGAGTGTCTCGCACTGTGACCTAACGAGACAGTGTAACTAGGTTACACGGAATCTCGTGTCTGTTCGGTCACTTCTGCTCTATGCGTCAAGATAAACCATCTAGCATTAATCCTGTTCTCTTATCGCGATACTCTACGGGGTGTCAAGGTTGTGCAAACACATAACTAGATCTGTTTGTCAGATCCACTTCTCAACTGTGATGGAATTTTGGTTGATTGAGTGTTAACAAGGAGGGTGAAACGCCCAAGGAATGGGTCGTTGTCATCCATCCTCATCCTCATCATCACCGTAGTCATTAATATTATTATTATTATTACTATTACTGTTATTGTTATCAGAGACAGTAACATCAGTGTTGCCACTAATGCTGCCGTGCAACCAAAAAAATTATTTTATTATATTTGAATACATAGAATGAAAAGAGAACAATAAAGTGAGTAAGCGAGGGGACCTGGTGCTGACCTATCGCAGCCGATCGAACGTATTATTGTCAACAGATATACACGTATACTCTGTATCTTCAATTCAAGAGGTCAAGACCTGCATACAGTTGGTTGTATCACTGAATAGGAACTCGTGGATTTCGTTGTAACCGTTGAGGGCTGCAGAAAAAATAAGGGGAGTCACTGGCTGCAGAATTCGTCTGTTGATATTTGGACTGGTATTGTACGTGACAATGATCCCTGTCACTCTAGACCTGATGGTCTGTTCCTATAAGAACCAGACGGGAGCCAGATTGTTTGGAGCAACATCTTCCCCTCCGATGGATCGAACCGAAGGCATATGAGACAGTCTCACGTCTCATACCAACTCTTTTCGGAACCTCTAGAACAAAAGGGATTCACGTGACATACACGAGTTTCGGTTGCCTTTTGCCAAATCCGAGCGAAAAAATCATTGAACACGTTTCTGTCAGGTACGCAAAAGTTCTTTCTGAAATATGAACAGCGTTGCTTCGTTTTATTAGACTACATTGTTTTTTAATGAGTTTCCCTAGATTCTGGTGCATTGTTCAGTCACCCTCTGTGAAACTTGGCGAATGCACTTAATTTGATTTATCTGTCTTGATAGCGTTTGATTAGGTAGGTAGGTTTGGACAGGGGGCGGTGACACTTGTGAGTTTCGGATTTTAATGTTATTGATACGTGAGTCGGCTGTCGCCCACACACACAGGTGCACGGGTTTTGAGCCAATGGGGGCAACGAAAAGTTTAAAAATAGTTTAGAAGTTACAGAATCAAAACCGGTAAATTGAGTTGCAGGGGACCCCACATCTATGAGCTTGCTGGTATTTGGACATGTTTCTTCAGTTTCCGAAACTTCCTCAAACCCTTTTAACTCTCTCGTGAATTTTCCTCTGGCTCTCACTGACGCTTTTCATATGGTTCATTCCATATCTTATAGAGGGGATCAAAGAGATCGTACTGCGTTGGGTTTTGTGGCTCAACACTACCTGCCTGCTGACATCTCGACAGCTCACAACAGATTAGGATAATGCTCAGTGGAAGGATCTGGACGTTTATCGTGTGCTGTTGAAAATTCAGTTCGTTGGTTCTCTTTACTTGGCAAATTTGTTTTTTTAATGCCGGTTGCTTATCATTGTTGAAGTCTATTTAGTTCGTTGGTTCTCTTTACTTGGCAAATTTGTTTTTTTTTTAATGCCAGCTGACTATCATTAGTTAAAGTCTCCGGAAGTGAAAATAGTTTCAGGAAAAAACGATCCAAGTGGGCATTGGCTGTTGGGCACACTTTGTGTTAGCAATTCAAATTCGATCTGATGATATCAGCTTGGGGTGAAGCTTTGGTTGATGCCTCTGGTGATAAAAATGGCCCACTCGTATCGATTTATGGGGTTTTGCTGAACGTGCACCTCTGCAGCGGACTGCTGCATTGCGCCATCCAGCCTCTGATTCCATCGAAACAATCAATACCTGGAGCCATTTCGGGGGAGTATGGCAGTTGTATTGATTTGGACAAAGTCAACTTGCACCACGTAGAATGGTTTGTCTGAGGGTAAAAGAGAACAGCGATTCCCACATAGCTACTTTCGATGTGGATCCAGGTGTATACAGTATTTTTTGTTATTATTTGACAAACGATGATAACGTTCTACCAACCATCGAGTCGTAAATACTCATATAGTGTAATTACTGTCAGTCGCTACTTGTTTTCAGTGAAGCGGAGTAACCTGTCGATGGTGATGAAGCCTATCTTGTCGGATGACTGGGATTATAGTTCGGACCGCTTTACCCCGGAACCTCTAAACTGTTCTTGGGTGTTTGGGCTGAAACTTCGCAACTTTTTCAGTTCAAAGTTGGGTGCAAAGATGTCGTCATCCACAGACATGTTTCGAACCAACGTTGAAACATGTGAGTGAATGCTGATTGCAGTGGGCTGACTCTAAGGGGTCGGATTGTAGTGGTTCCGTGAGATTAGGTAGGTAGTTAGGTGGTGGCCAGACGATCTTCTGTCGTGGAAACTGTGGCCAGCCGGAGAGTTTGGTGCATATTTTTCAGTCCTGCTGGACCACGAATGACGCCAGATGTGCTCGTTATAATCGGGTTGCAAGGGAACTTGCCAAACGTCTCCGTCGACTGGGATACACCGTCTTTGAGGAGTTGAGAACACCTTCTTCGACGTCTTCCATCAAACCTGACCTAATCACTGTTCGGAAACGCCGAGCAACTGCAATAGACGTCAGCATGTTCTCGGATGGGCGCGGAGTGACTGTGTGGAATGAGAAGAAGCAGAAGTATGGTGCTAATGAATGTTCCCTCGCCATAATCTCAGCCCTACGTGCAATCGGTTGTGATGTCGACTTTTTGGTCAACCAACCGATGGTCATTTCTTATCGAGGGATCTGCTTACCTCGATCCGCCAAGGCTGTCATTGGACTGGGACTTCCTGAGGTCACAGTCAGTGACTTGTGTTTACTTGCCATTGTTGACAAGTTGACACTTTTATGCGTGGCACATGGCCTTGAGTGTGCATTTTTGTCATCTAATCTCACACCAGACCCAGTACGACGGACACTCTGTGCCTGATGTACGAGTCTTGATTGTGCTAGCGCTTACCGCGCCTTGAAGTGTATTCAACATTGTCTGTACTTTCTTCAGTTCTTGGTCTTTAGACGCGTGTTTTCCATACCATACACCATACATACGTTAGGATTCATTTCATCTGACTGGTGGCATGAATTCGAATGAAACGTTGCTCTCTTTTATCTCATATTCTACTATTACCCTTTAGCATTCGTCGCTTGCATTCACTTTTTATTTTTGTGACCATGCTCTTCAAAAATAAATGACAGTTGGTTCTCATATAGTTGTTAACGTCAGAGTGGCATTCGGGTTGGGAAAAATTTGTGATGCGAAGACAGAAAAAATAACGGGAGCTTGGGATGTGGCCCAACAGACTGTCCACAGCGGTTTATCGGTCTGGACCGACAAAGGGCCGGGAGTTCACGGCCAGTGGGGATTCGTACCTTCAGTGGCGAGATCTAGCTGTGAGCACGAGAGCGAGATGTGCTGGCGAACGGAGTTTTCCTGACAGGCTGACAGCCCTGCTCTGCTTTGACCTGAGAATCAAGCCCGTTTTCTATAGAGGAAAATGTTGGTAGCTCAGGTATCGTAGATGGTGGTCGTTGGCTTGTTCGCTGAGCTGGGCAATTTGATTGCAAACGTTGGTGGCGGCACAACCACCAAATCACCGCTACGCACTACTACGCTCCACAATAACGCACTGATGATGTCACTTCGATTGGTGATGAAACGTTTGCAATCAAATTGCCCAGCTCAGCGAACAAGGCAACGACCACAATCAAGCCCGTGCTTGAGGGCTTGTGTGTGGCATAAGCGAGCCCTTGCATTGCCTTCACGGGTCGCCACTGCCTTCATGTGTGACTCGGCTGTCCTCACGCGTATCGAACATGTGTAGTGCGGATGCGAACAAAGATGCCCTAACGTACCAGACAGCAGTGACGGTGAGACAATCTGTGTGCGCGTCCGACATCGAGAACACCCTGGAGTAAGTTGTCACAACACCCTGGCGAAATTAGGTAGAACGAGGGTGAAACCAATCGTGACGGTGTTGGGCTACCCGGAAGCGGGTAGGGATGACCTCAATGGCGTGTGGATGACCATCAAAATAGTGATCGTCGAACGTTTCTCGAGTTCACCCTGAGCCGAAAAAGTACGCTCCCTACATCGGTGGCTAAAGTAAAGGGCAACTGGTTGCCTGTCTCCGAGACAACCTGTTGTTTTGGGGTCAATAAATGGAACTCTTAGCTAAGATGACAGCGTTACTGATGACTTCGCTGTCGTTCAGCTGTAGCACCCTTTCGGTGCCTAACTGCCATGCACCCGAAGGTTCAGCTGTAGCACCCTTTCGGTGCCTAACTGCCATGCCACCCGAAGGTTACACGAGGGCTGGGATACTGACAGCTCAAGCCGAGACAGGGGAAGTCGAGAGGTGGAGGTCATGTTTGAACCACGGACCTTCCTGTCAGTAAATTCGCGCTCTAACCACGTGGGCCATCTCGCCATCTACGCTAGCCATAGATTAACTCGGAACTTCGAAATACCATAAGCGCTGTAGAATCCACTATAGAAACAATATACAAAATAACCACGAGAACACCCACCTCTGTAACTTCTTTGAAAAACTTCTATTATCGCTTGATCAGACCCAGGAACGCCACTGTGCTGTCAACATTAGACAGTATCCATACACAGTGCGATTCCTATACGACGCACCGAATGATTGGCACAGCCAACTTACCCTGATTAGACTGTCAACCTTTCCTCTGTGTCATGTTCAGTTTGAAAAAATAACATGCTAAACTGCAGCGGACAATCATCGAATACGCTTACGCGAAAGGATTGCAGTTAGAAACTTTGGGTTACGTCTTTGTTGGTGTCCATCAATACACTCGGTGACAGCTGCAAACCATAAGGCACGCACGGGGTTACGGAGATGCGTACACCGTGAAATAAGAAACAACGCGATTGAGCCGACTGCCTTACAATTTCCTTTGGAGATCTGTTGATGCACCACATGACTTCATACGGCCCGATATCATCAGTCAATACTCTCGACCCTTTTAGCAGTTTACCATATCCCACTCTTCCCGTTACTCTGTCGTTTGATTGACGCCCAAATTCATAAGGCAATAGTCAGGCAGCGCAGAATTTGGTCACTTTTTGTCCACTGCAAACGTATCTCTTGGTTTACCAAGCGCACTAGTCACCTGTATGCATCAGATACGTGAGAAGACTGATAGCTGTTTCGGACTTACAGGTTTTTCCACATGCTTCCATGTTTAGAGGTTTGTACTCACCCCGTCCCCTGATTATGGCAACCGACTAGAGTTGTCTGTGTGGCTGAAAACCCATGCTCACCGTTCTCCTGCCACTTAGACGCGTCACGTGCACCAAATGAACACGGAGACATTCAGATTGCAAGTGCACGAAGGCCTTTTGGTGGTAGACGGTGGCAAAGAAGAGTAGTTGACAATATGATCAGTGAGTCAATGATCAGTGAGCCCTAGAGTGCCTCAATCGCTCCGAGCTTTCATGGTTATCTCGTTGTGCTGAACATATCAGCAGCTCTTTGATGTTTTTGACTCGACTCGTTTTGTCGAGGACTAAGAATGATAGGCCTAGAATGTGTAGTAGGGACCGCTAATTCCAGCCGGTTTTTCAGTCCGGACCGGGTATAATTGCGTTGCACGCCTGCAAGCACCACTGATGCAAAGTGAAATTACCCGTTTGCTAACTGACTTGCGTGAGTTCAGATAGGCTGACGAGCATCTGAAATGTCTCCAGTATGGATCGTGTTCGATCGACTCGCTTTTTTCGGCATGACTAGGTCTGTTTTAGGTGCCGCGCAGCAATCTTAAAACTTTCATTTATACTGATGCACGAAGTCTTCAAAGCCAGTTATTTCATGTTCAGTTTTTTTCATCTTTCTCTCTCGTAACAAATGTGCATATTCAGGATGCCAGTGTGGAATATTGTCAAGTTGTGAATGTGTTCTAACGTTCAATGCTCGAGAAAACCAAACTATTGAGTTTTACAACATGTATAATAAAAAAATAATCGTTCAGCTGCAACACCCTTTCGATGCCTAACTGCCATGCCGCCAGAGGGAAGCACGAGGGCTAGGGTGTCCAAACATAGACAGGAGAACTCGAGAGACATAGGTTGGGTTCGAATCATGGACCATCCGGTCAGCAAATTCGCGCTCTAACCATTGAGCCATCTTGATAAGGTTACTGCTCGACAGTCCACTACCGATTACTCTCTTCTTGGGGCGCAGCAGATGGACGCTGTTCCCGAGTCTCCGTCAATCTTATCTTCTACTTGACGCGAACTCAAAGATTGAGTTTACCTGATGAGCCCCAAGAGGGGCAAAACCGGTCGTGGGTTGTTAGAGTTTTCAGTAAACTTGTAAGTAGTTTGCTTTATGAAAATATACTGCGACATCTCGAATACTGGACCAGTTGAAACATGAAGCGGCCCTTAAGATTCAGCTGGTGTTCACTTGTCCGCAGCTAAAACCGACCTAGCGAACGCCATTTTGCTTGAGTGACTAGTTTCATTCAATTTACCTAATAATTTAACATGTTTGACGAAAACATTCGCGTCGTCCGTGAAATATTCCTGGTCAGCAGGCCCTTTCTAAAATTGTTGTTACACTGCGGTCATTCTTCTCGCCTGAACTGATAAAATCCGCGTGATATCGCTCATTTGATCTACGCAGAGACAGTGGGTGTATAGACGCAATTCTCGTTTGAATGGCCCAGGACCTGTTCTAACAAACTTTCTGGTTGCTCCACATCAGTCGATTCCCCCATATTTATGTTCCATTCTGTTCCGCAGATAGCCACACACACAGACCCATGCGTTCACGCAGTGCAAACTTTTCACTGTGCTTTGGCTAGGAAGCGTGTTGTATCGCCCCTGTTGCTTGTCTGAACCTGCGCGCGTCAGGACGCGTGAGCCTCATCTCACTGTCCATCAGTATTGCCGGAATAGGTGAAGTCCCAGTAGGTGTGATGCGGACCACAACACACGTCCCAATGACCCACGCGCATCACTTGGACTACCAAATTAATGTCCGAGTGATTTTGTCCTGGAAGCATGTCACCCTGTTGTTGCCTGTCAGAACTCGTCAGAAGTCGTGCGCGTCAACTGGCACGACAGGGATTCCAACCTCCGCGGTCTTTTACCTGAACACAGGAATTCTAACCACCTGATTTCGGAATGAAGAAAGCTACTTGGGGATGATGCCTTTTCTTCACTACTGCGTTTACCTGGACCTAGCATTTCCAGGATGCACCAGTTCCTGTTCTATTTTTTCCCACTGTCTGAATAGGTTTCTACTCACATGAGCAGTTTATATGGAAAGGGGGATCCTACAGTCTGGGTGGACCTGTTACCAAAGTGATTGACGGCCATCAAGTGGGTTGAAAGGTGAAGCACGACAACAGAGAAACGTCCTGGAGGGTTATGGGCAGATGAACTTTAATCCGTATATTGGAAGAAAAAAACTAGCGATTGTGAGAATTTCAGGGAACGGAGATGTGAGGAAAGTGAAACACGATAAACACTACCTAAAACATAGCTGAGTCGTTCGTTCGGGACTAGGAGGGAACGAGGTGCACGGAGCGTTTGTCTGACGGGGAACAGCGATGAAGGCGCGCACGAGATAGAGCAAGAAGTCTGTCGGACATTATCAGTGGAAAACGGGCAATGGAGCATATATTTTCTTCGATTATGATGTAGAGGTGAAAATTAATTAGCAGGGAACCTACCCCGAATATGAAGCAGGATACCGTGTTGGAACGAATGCACGACTTGTTCTGAAAGAGATGGGCAGTGGAATGAAGCTGGAAAGCGATTGGGGACTAGTTTCACATGGAGGACCTATTGGAAAGAATGTACCAGTGAGCAGACAATTGAATTATTTTCTGACGAGATTGAGCTGTACGATTTAAGTATATGTCAGCACAGGAATCGAGAAACGTGGACGAATTTGGATGTATTGGATATAGTTGCTTTCCAATGACTCTGATCCCCGTTGTTCATGAGAACGCTGTTTACGGGCAGCTGGTGAGGCAGATCTCTGAAAGAGGGGTAGCACCCTCTGCGAATGCAACACAAAACATTTGGTATACAGGATGAAGTGTGTGGGGAATGTGGGGTTCGGATGCAAGTGAGAAATTTGTATGAGTTGACTTCTTCGACCCAAGGGAGTATACTGTTAAGGCCGATTTTAGTCGAATGGTTTTCAAGCCATTTCCGGGTGCGTTCCTCGCACTGTGAGTCTGGAATTCAGGTCATCATGCCATATTTCATCAAAAGCCTCCAGACATCAAGAAACACCTATCTGCCTTTACCAAACGGCAGACACATGCAGGGTACACCAAACAGTCAGTACAGTGATACGTAAATCCATCTTAGTTGTTGTTCAGGCAGCCCTGATTTTCCAGGCCACGTATAGCTTGCTTTGCTGCTGAAGTTTGGACGAAACGGGGGCGAGGGAGATGCGGCAGTCGCTTGTCCGTTCAAGTGAGGAGGAGAATGGATTCTACCGGAAGCTATTGAAAGGAAGAACTCATTTATGACTTTGGAGAAGTTTGGCGCAAGATACAGCCTGGACCGGTATGCGTTCATGTGTTAGGGGATGGAATATGCACCAATGAGCAGACCTAATGATAGTGCAAATTGTGCAGCAGTCGCACGACAAACTTCGGAAAGAAATATTATTTGGTAACCAAAAAGCTGGACAATTAGTTTGCTTTTTGTTACGAGAAGTTTGATGCTCAATCAACAACCAACAAAATGACTTATTGAACTATCCATGGGATAAAAACCAGCCTGAAATGTTTCCGGTGTAGAATTATCTGAATACTTGCTTTACATTCGCCCTTACTGTCTTATTTTTCCTTGACTTACGGGGTTTTCCTATTATATAGGATTAAGATGTTACTTCGTTGCTGAGGGACGGCAACAGTTTGGAAA